TCGTTTTTCGCTCTATCCAACTTATCCTTTTTCCTTTCGGTATCAATTATTACCCAAGTTTCACATCCATATGTTGCAACACTCCATACATATGTTTTTATAAGTTTCTTCTTGATGTTAAGATGTATCTTTTTTGAAGTGWGCAACTTATGTTTTTTCCTGAAAGCAGTATTTGCTATACGTTGTTTTATCTCATGGACACTCTTGCCATCARACATAATTTTACTTCCTAGGTATACCATTTCTTCTACCTGTTCCAGTTTTTGATTACCTATGTATACATCAGCTTTTAATTTCGGGTCTCTGGTGCAGACTAAAATCTTCGTTTTTGTACTATTTATTTTCATTTCTGATATTCTAATTATTTCATCCATTTCTTCAACTGCACGCTGTATGTCACCTTCACTCTCTGCTATAACCTCAATTTCATCAGCAAAACGTATCATTGAAACGATTTCTCCACCAATTTTGGTTCCAATATTTAATCTTGTTAGCTTTGCTTTTACTATATTTATGACATTTTCGATGTAGCAGTTAAAAACTGGTGGTGATAACGTACACCCTTGTCGGACTGCTTTTTTTATTTGAGCATTAGTTGTGATTTTTCCTTTTTTAATGCAGGCTGTCTGGTTCTTGTACAGACTTTGAATGATTCTTAGGTCTTGTTGCTCAACGCCTATTTCTCGTAATGTGAGCAGCATTTTGTTCCAATTTACTTTATCGAAGGCCTTTTCTAGATTTATGAAGGCCAAATATGTAACTTTATTTCTATCGATCTGTTTTTCAATTAGCACTCGCAGTCCTAGAATTGCTTCTCGTGTGCCTTTTTGTCTTCTAAATCCATATTGATCACTTTTTAAGTACTGCTCCACTTTTCCTTCTATTCTTCGATGTATTATTTTTTTTAGGATTTTTGAGACATGTGTCAGTAAGCTCAGAGTTCTAAACTGTTCACAGGAATTTGCTCCACTTTTCTTTGGTATAGGAACAATTATGCTTTTACAGTAATCGTCTGGCACATCTCCTTTCTCATATATATCCTGAGTTAGTTGGTATAAAGCGTCTTTCATCTTCATACTAGCACATTGCAATAGTTCTGCTGTTAGTTTATCAATCCCAGGAGCTTTATTTTGTTTCAAGTCATAGAGCGCTATCTCAAATTCAGATCTTAAAACGGGTAGTTTCGTTGTTTCTTCATCTGCTGTAATTTCCTCCATATCTTCCTCAATTTCTCCCTCATATAGCTCCTCAATCTACTCTTTCCATCGTTTTACYATGTCCTCATCATCAACCAATAGTTRGACTTTTTTATCTCTGATATTATTGCAATTTCGTTATCTTTTTCCCACAACATGTTGAATCTTGTGATACGCATAATCTATTTTGTTAGCTTTGAATAGTTCATCAATTTCACTACACAGCTGCTCCAGCTATTCTTCTTTGGCTTTTCTAGCTTCTCGATTAACCTGGTTCCTTAGTTGTCAATACTTTTGTTTTCCTTCTCTTGTGTTATTGTTTTTATATTTTCGTCTTTCATCTATAAGTTTTACTATTTCCTTATCAATCCATGCTCTTCTTGGTTCCTTCTTTTCTTTTTTTGTTAACACAGTATCCGCCACTTTTTTGATAGCTGATTGTATGTGCTCCCACTTTTTATTCAGAGAGTCATCTATATTTTCTTTTTGGTATTCGATATCCATATAGCGTCMATATTGTTCCACAACTTCCRCTCTCTTATAACCTGATATTATAACTTTCTTCTTGCTGTACTTTTGATCTTTGTAGATTTTTATATCTTAGTTCACATTTYGCTATTACTATATTGTGATCACTGTCATAATCTGCGCTTGGGTATGTTTTACAGAATTTAACTTGATTCTTAAATCTATTTTTCACCATTATGTAATCTATTTGGTAGCGGGCAATATCACCTGGCATTTTCCATGTATATATTCTTCTTTTAGGGTTTTGGAATCTGGTGTTTGTTATAATCATCCTATTTTCTCTGCAGAACTCTACTACTTTTTCTCCTCTTGCATTTATCTTACCTAAGCCAAAGTCTCCGACTTCTCTACCTTCCCTGCCCTCTCCAACAATAGCATTAAAATCTCCCATTATGATTACGTTATTGTATGGTTTAGTATGTTTCATTAGATCTTCAATGCCTGCGTACACTTCTTCCACTTCTTCATCATCTGCTTTTGATGTTGGCTTATAAACTTGTATAATTGCAAGATCGTTTGGTGTTGATTCCATTTTGACCAAACATAGTCTGCTACTATAGGTCACCACATTCGTAACACTCTTACCCCACTTCTTATTGAGAGCAATGCTAACACCAGCTTTTCATTTTGTACTATTGGTATGAATATCTCTGATATCGTCAGACCAAAAGTCACAATTTTCTGGCCAACGTATTTCGCATAGTCCTAAAATGTCTATATTTAGTCTTTTCATTTATATTTTTATATTTTCCACCTTTCCTGTTTTCAACATTGTTCGTACATTCCGCGTTCCTATTCTCTGCGTTTTATTCTTCTCACATGTATCCTGCAGGGTAGCTCCCACCCGGACATCCGAATGGGGAGCTATTTTACGTCCGGACAAATTTTTTACACTGCGAGAATCCATTTAAAAGACAAAATAGTAGTTGCCTAACTAGGGATGTTAATGTGGTGGTTTCCTCTTGCCTTCCACGTCGCAGCCCAAACCCTATTTCTAGGAATTGGTGGCCAAGTATAGATAAAACCTTTTCATCTACACTTAGTAATAGAAGCGCTGCTACCCACTTCTATGTCCATTTTAGTCGGCTCTTACGACAGGCATGAACTACCGAGGATGTATTCTAACCCCCACCCACAGGGGCCATTTATTTTACTAAACCAGAAAAATCTTTTTTATGCTTTATAGCTGAGACACCACCAATCTAAGTTAATGACATTTTTAATATTTATTGGATTGGTTTGATATTTATTTAGTTGTAATCCACAGTTTAATATGAATTCGTTTCTTTTAAAATTTCCAAAACTACAAATTCAAAATTATCAGAACTACCTAATTTATTATCAAAATTAAAATAGTTTTGCTATCAACGAATCTKTGTTTTCCATTGCACATTGTTGAATAGGTACTTTAGTGACCTACCTATCTCAATAATATTTTAAATTAGTGTGTTAATTTATTTCATTAAACATACCAATTACAAAATACATTTACCGTCTTCATCAAAATATTCCTAACAGGCCACATGTTTCAAATTGTAGAAACAGATCACGTTCTCATGAATACAAATATTATGGTGTGTTCTGTGCTTCGATGTGAAAATATCCACTTATAGTGATTGACAATAATATATCATCTACAGAATTTTTTATCAAATATACTGAGTTATACAGATTTATATTATSACAGATCAAGTTCAAAAATAATTATATTTCAGAGATTTAAAATAATATACTTTGAGTGTTCGTAAATATTTTTAAAAATACACGATTAAATKTTTAAAAAATGACTATGCCTTTCAATTTTTAAAACGTCGCGTGTTTCTTCAAACACAAATGTAAAAATTTTCTTAGTCTATTATTATCACATATTTTGTACGTTTAATTTATAGCCTCGATTATAAAATGACACTGTATAATATTAAATCAGTGTAATTAGGCGACTGACTTGCTATTTGAAGTTACTATTTTGATACTTTTGAATGACGCCACACATAATGTAATAGCTATAAAGTTACAACCAGTGTGTGTATGTGTGTATATCATATGATATTATAAAGTTTGTGTCAGCATGTCATATATGACCCTATATATGCAGTACTATACAGATACACATCGAAAACGTGGCATTTGTTAGGTAAAGAGTTACCTGCATATAGACTTTGGAGCAGGATAAGCGAGCGTGTGTAATGGGTTTTCTCTGGTCGTGCAGGTGCAGGGCAAAGGCGAAATACCTACGCAAGTGTGTGTGTGTGTGTGTACGCATGGCCTGATGGGTGAACGGAGACGACGGAGAATAAAAGGATAAAGAGGAGCAGGAGACGTAAGCTGTGAAGTGGAGACGACGCGACGAGTGTATATACCTCACACGGGACAAAAGAAAGAGAGCAATTTTTTTTCTCTCTCTCTCACTCTTTCCTTTTTCTCTTCTTATTATCTTGCAGAGACGCACACGCTCAAGTGGGTGATAGCGTAAATGTATATATAAATATAATGGTTACGCAGTGATATCAATGGCGGTAATAGTGGTTGTGGTAGTATATACGTCTTGTGTAATACGGCGAGCCGGAGAGTCTGCTGCTACGTCCTCTCGTGACTGCGTATTACGTATATATATGTAAGTACACGTTATAGATACACGTATATATGTTAAAAGTATATGTAAGTATTAATGTTTTTATTGGCTGCGCTTTTTGGCCCGGGGCTTCTGAAATTCAGTCCTCTTCTTCTTATTTTTCTTCCTTATTTTTATTTTTTATTTTTATATTCAGCCGACGTCGTAAACGTCATTATAAGACCGAAGCTCAAACCAAATAAACCAAATATATATCATGTACCTACATACTTGACTACCAGTTACTCGTTGTATAACAACAACAATAACAATAATAATAAGCAACAACTATTTTGCAGTGKAACCGCTTGCTGTGTCAAACTTCGGYACCTGAACGTTTTAGTAAGTCGATTTTTTTCGTCAGTCTTGAGTGTTGAAAATACGAGACAATTTGTTTTGATATGTGGAATTTCTATATATTTCAATTATTTCTATATAACCAAGTAAATATTCGATACTCGCCGTCGCTAACCATAATTCATCAATTCAAATATAACAATATAAGACAGATTAGAAGAAGTATGTGAATTTCACACATATGAACTGCAAAAACATAAGCTCTGCAATACTCAGAGTTTCTGACAAATAAATTTTCTCTGCACTCAATATTTTAGTTAGTATTATTCAAAGCACTTCGGTTAATAAACAAAAAAAAAAAAAAAAA